CTTCTTGCCTCAAAATAATTTCTGAACAAGTAGCCCTTATGCCTATAAGAATCAGAAGATTTCTTAAAATAAGCGCTCAGTGAAAGAACATTTAAATAGAAAATAATTGCTTGAATAGGCTTTACTTGCCTGGAAAATCTAACCAACCTATAAACAAAAGAAAAGTTTTTTAAGATTTAAAGAATTTGAGCTATCTAAAAAGCTACTTCTAATATAGCAGAGGCATCTAGAACATTGACCTTGGAGTAATACTGCCTAATTATAACCCCAGTCTGTCCCTTAAAGCTATGTGACTTTGGACAAGATAGTTTATTTCTCTGCTATTTGTCATGAGTATTTAATACATGTAGAAGCACTTAGAACAGGGCTTACCAGATGGTAAGAGCTCTGTATAAGTGTTTGTCATTAATACTGTTTTTTTCAGATGATCTCAGGACACCAAAAGGAACAGACTGGCTAAAGAGCCAGGAAATCTGTTTTAATCCTGGTTCACTGAAACCCTATTTTAGATACCTACTGCCAACTTTTGTATCCTATCGTCCACACCTGTAAAACTGAGAAAATGGTACACTTACACCTTGTGGAGATGTTGGGAAGGTTTAAAACAGAGAAACAAAAATTTGAGGGTTTTCAAAGATTCAAAGGGTTCCTTTTAAACTTAGAATAACCCAAAATCTCACTGTAATGACACCATGCAGAATTCAGATGTTAAAACTATTATTCAAGGTCAGCATCATAAAATTAAAAATTCAGGGGCACCTGGGTGGCTCAGTCAAACGTCCAGTTCTTGATTTCAGCTTAGGTCATGATCTCAGGGTTGTGAGATCAGCCCTGAGACAGGCCCTGCGCTGGGTGTTGAGCCTGCTTAAGATTTTCTCTCAACTCCAAATAAATAAATAAATAAATAAATAATTCCATTACTAATGACCATCAACTGTTCTGGGTACCCTGCTATATGGAACATAAATCCATTTTCAAAAGCTGGAAGTGCACTAACATTAAAACAAACACAAAAGGGACGACTGGGTGGCTCAGTCGGTTAAGCTGCTGACTTCTGTTCAGGTCATGATCCCAGGGTTCTAGGATCAAGTCCCCCATCGGGCTCCTTACTCAGTGGGGAGCCTGCTTCTCTCTCTGCCTCTGCCTGCACTTTGCCTGCTTGTGCTCTCTCTCTCTGACAAATATTTTAGTATACGTGCTGCCGAAGCGAGCACTCTCTCTGACAAATAAATAAATAAAATCTTTAAAAAAAAAAACCCAAACACAAAAAAATTATACTATTATGTATTGCTAAGTCTATTAGATTCATTCCTGAAAAGACGCACACACACACACACACACACACACAAATATGAGAACACCAAAATTTACAAGGAAAGGAAAAATAATATTTATTAAATGACATCCATGACAAATCCTCTATTTGGGGCTTTCACATATTTTAACTTTCACAACCCAGCAAAATAGGCGAAATTACTGCCATTTGCACACGGGAGGAAACTGATTAAAAAACAGTTCTCACTGGCTCTAGGCCGTACCACTAAGTAAGTTACTGATTAGAAGCAAGATCTCCTAGAGTTTTAAAGCCTAAGATACTTCCACTTTCCTAGCTATCTAAAAAAACCCCTTATTTGCTTCAGAGAAGCATATATAATCATTTCCTAAAAATACCTTTGGGTATCTTTTTTACAAATCCAGATGTTTCACTATGTTTAATTTTAATAGGGGTGGAGAGTCAGGATTTATATCTATCTGGAACTTAAATTAGAAAAAAAAGTCAGATTAATAGGCTTAAATTCTGTTGGGATATATACTGGAGAATACTAAACCCCTTTCATCTCGGGATGGTAGAAAGGTTAATTCACAAACAGTAGAGCAAATAGATTATTCATAATTTTTTAAAGCAAAAATACCATTTTCTTTTTTTTGAAGATTTTTATTTATTTACTTATTTATTTGACAGAGAGAGACATAGCTAGAGAGAGAGGCAGGCCTTTTTTTTTTTTTTAAGATTTTTATTTATGTATTTACTTATTTGACAGACAGAGACAATGCTAGACAGAGGGGCAGGCTCCTCGGAGCAGGAGCCCAATGTGAGGCTCCACTCCAGGACCCCGAGATCACCAACTGAGCCAAAGGCAGACGCTTAATGACTGAGTCACCCGGGTGTCCCAAGCAAAAATATCATTTTTAAAATAAATTTGTTGCATCTGAATTGACCGTCAAGATTTTTCCTCTTTTTTTTTTTTTTTCTTTTTAAGACTTTTCCTCTTAAATATTACTTTGATTACAGTGGCCAGAACTGGCTCTGGAAATTGACCTCTTTTTAATGATAAAAAACCAGGGCTGGAAGAGTCTTTAGAAATCACCAAGTCCTGCTGTTTAAAAATTCATTTTGGCTTCATAATACTTCAAGTAAATCTGGAAACCTAGTATGTGAAGACACAAAAACAGTGATTGACCCGTCTAATATTCTCACTTTACAGATGGAGAAACTTAACCTAATTTGTACTGACTTTCCTTATTGTAATTACTACTGCACTTCCCCACTACTCTGCAAGTTTTGCGAGGGTTGAGGCCATATTTAGCTCAGCGCTGGATCTACAGCGCCTAGCACAGCACTTCCGCCCTCCGAGTCAGACCCAAAGAAATGAAATCAACTAACTTGTCCAGCCTGTAGTTAGAAGAAAAGCCCCAGCCTAATCCAATCTATTACAAAAATTTTTTTGTTAAAACTAGTTGTCCACCCCTTCCCACGCCCTCACCCCGTCAGTCTCTCCAATCTGGACTGGGATTCTCACACCCCATTGGGCACTGTGGCCTTGCTGATCCTCTCAGGGGTCCCAAACTTCATGCATCCCAAGACACTTGACAGCTGTACTGCCTTCCCGATATTTTAGTAATAGTACGGCCAGTACTACCTCTGAACGACAAAGCCCGACTCTCCAGAGACCCAAGAGACGCCTCGGAGCAGTGGCTAGGCGGGTGGGAAAGGTGGGAAGCACGTGGCCTCCGTTCTTAACCTCCTCCAGGTCACCCAGCAGGTTCTAGGTCCGCGCGACGAGAGACACACCTCGGAGGACCTAGGTGTCCGGACAGCCCCCCACCCGCCGGTCCCCCAACCCCGTCCCTCGTTTACCAGCGTCGGTGGGGGTGGCAGTGAAGGCCGTGGCGGGTGTGGTGAGTCCAGCCGCCTCCCAGAGGAGCAGCCAGGCCACCGCCCGGACAACCACGGCCGTGACAGCCAGGACGCTGGAGAACGCGCTCCCCAGAGCGCGCGGGGACGAATTGCGGACTGAGGAGCCCGAGCACTCCTTATGCCGCTCCTAGAGCGTGCTGCCACGGAGTCAGTGACCGGCACGGCAGACAACGACACGCGCCTGAGGTCCTGCGGTTCCCCCGGTCCCCGCAGCTCTGGTCCCCCCGAAACTTCCGGCGTTGCGGGAGGCGGCAACCTCACTGCAGTCTTTGCTCCCTTGTCACCCCGCCCCTCGCCGTCGGGTCAGGGGGCGGGGCGAGGAGCGGCGCACGCGCCGTGACGTACGCCGGGGCTGTTGCTGTGGGAACAACTCCTTGGGCCCCCATCCAGACCCGGGCTCTGGAGCAGTCCTGCGAGCCGTATTGGGGAGCTCCCTGTCTCCACCTCCACTTCCAGGTACGTGCGGATTCGGCCCTCCTGCGGGGGAATTCACCCCACAGTCACGTCTGCGAGGCTATGGCTGTAGCCTCTTCCTGCAGCGCCAGACTCCGCCCGGCCTCAAAGCCGAGTTAAGTTCTCTGTGCACTGCGGTTGGGGAGAAACAAGCCCCTCACGGCGGTTTTAAGCTCTTCCCCGCCACAGAAGATGCACTTTCTCTATTTCTCTAAGGGTAAGAAAGTCAGCCTTGCAGTAGCGGGGACGTGAGTTTGGGAGAGGATCGTCTCTCTATTGGCAAAATCCGTACACTTTTAGGTGCTGTGGGGGATGTTTAGTAAAATTATGGCGGTCACTGATTCCTGGGAAGAAAAGTATTAATGCTTTTGAGGAAGAGTTAGGTAAATGTGTGGTCTGTCTTCTTGAATTGAAGTGAATCTGAATCTGTAAGTGGGCCTAGATGCAGACTGGAGCTAGGACAGGTGTTTGCAAGAGGAAGGATGTCAGAATGTACCATCGGAAAGTGAAAATAGCAGTATAAGCATGGTATTAAGAAATATGGAGATAAATTTTGGAAGAAACACTTAAAAGAATTGAAGCTGGTTGACTATGAAGAGAGGAAGGGCAGGGAACAACAGTTTTTTTGTTAATAATCCTCAGAATTATTTTACATTTTTAACAGAATATAAACATATTAGTACAAATAAAAGTTAAATTTTATTTTTTTTAAAGATTATTTATTTATTTATTTATTTATGAGAGAAAAAGAGAGAGGCGCAGAGTCGGAGAAGCAGGCCCCCCGCTGAGCAGGAAGCCCAATGCGGGACTCAATCCCAGGACCTGGGATCATGACCTGAGCCAAAGGCAGACGCTCAACCATCTGAGCCACCCACGCGCCCCAAAAGTTAAATTTTAAAAAGAAAAGACTCTGTAGTAAAAAAAAAAACATTGTTATCAATTGCATACATCAGTCATGAGTACAGCCATTTGCTTGAATGTGTGGAATTTATATTGTGCTCAGTAGGATCTTTTAGAAGGCTTACTAACAGACAATATTTTAAGGACATGAACTGGGAGTAGTATTTGAAGAAGCGGGTGGGTGGGATCCTTTGTGTCAGATCAGAGCACAGTAATTTGAAATGGCAGTTCTTTATGATTAATTTCTTAAGAGTAAAAATTCTGATGTTCAAAAATAAGAAGTGAAAAGTATAGGTGATGGTATATCCATAAGACAAAACACTTGACAGTCATAGAAATGTGTGTTTTAGTAAAGCATTGAAGGACAGAATCACGTAAGTTATTACATTTACAAGGCAGGAAATAGATGTATAATGTAAAAAAATACTATACTAAAAAAACTATATGTGTAGGAAAAAACAAATCAAAGGTAATCATTATATATATGTTTCTTCCTCCTCCTCCTCCCCCACCCTACCTCCAGTCTTCTCCAATGTACTGTGTTCCAAAGGTGATGCTCTAGAAAAATCAAGTTTATGAAGGTGTCATCACTCTATACTCCTTTACCTTTAGGTTCCTTGACATTTGCAAATCTTCCTGAGAATATCAAAGTCCTACCCAAAGCAGTCGCTATAATTAAGTGTATTTTGGCACTGGGCACCAACAACAGGGAATAGAAAGTATTAACTGCAAAATAGCTGTGTTTCTTGTAACTGAGAAAACATAGAGAGACAAATAAGTTGAAATAAAAATGATGTAAACTTTATTGACTTGTATATGTAGAGGTTGAATCTGTACCGGGTCTGCATTTTTTATCAGACCTGTAGACTATAAACACTTAAAGGATATACAGAGGCTGTGTCTTATATTAGTAGATTAAATTAAATTTTTTAAATGATTGTATTTATTTATTTGAGAGAGAGCTTGTGTGTGCGCAAGCGAGTGAGGGGAGGAGCAGAGGGAAAGGGAGAAAAGCAGGTTCCCCGCTGAGTGCAGAGGGCAGCGTGGGTCTCTGAGATCACGACCTGAGTGGAAACCCAGGGTGGGCCCCCTCAACTGACTGAGCCCCCCAGGTGCCCTTAGTACATTAAATTAAACAAGTATGTATGGTATTTTGCTGGGATATTCTGGTGAACAGTGGATATGTTCCCTGCCCTCATGCAGCATATACAATAGAAGGGAAGATAAGTGATTCAATAAGTAATCATAGAAAACTTCATGAGTAAAATGGGAAAGTCCAGAGGAGACAGACCCAGTCTGATGAACCTCTCAGGACTTAATGTTTAATGTTAAAAAATCATAGTATCTTGCCATAGAGGGTGCTTGTACATACTTGTTTAATTGATAAATAAAAAGATCCTGTAAGTTGATTCTTGGCCTGACTTTGGGTTCATGTACAATCTTTGGTTAAGAATGCAGTACACTAAGAGGTCCAGACAACTGCCCTTCCAGGCTCATGTGTGAACAAACCTACATACCTCATTGAACCAGGGATCCAACAACTAAGGATAACCCCAGGGCTGTACTGAACTTTCAGGGTAGCTCTCAAAGTATTGAAGTTGACAGGCTGAGCATGCATCTCTAGAACTGGACTAGAGCCAGATCTGCTGGGGAGAAGGGGTACTGGGGAGTGTGATTTATTCAACACTTATATTTTTTTCCCCTTTAGCAGGAAGTCATTATGTGACTAACATATTTTCATCAGATTTCCTCTGATTTGCCCTGAAGTGCATGTGAGAATGATGTGCACTGCCAAGAAATGTGGAATTAGGTTCCAGCCTCCAGCTATTATTTTAATCTATGAGAATGAAATGAAGGGAAAACATCGCCAACGCATCATGCCAGTCCGAAACTTTTCAAAGTTTTCAGGTACCTCATGTTTTATCTTGCTTCCTATCTTAAATATTCTCTAAATCACTTATTAAGAATGATTTCAGTCTTGTAATAGAGCACCATGGCCTTCAGAGTTAGACAGCCCCAGGTTCAAATCATGACTATCAGGGTAGGTAGGTAAACACCAGCTAAATTGTCAGAAAGCTTTAGCCTCCTGATCTGTAAATGGAAATTGATAATCCCACCCTTTCAGAATTGTGATATGGGTTAAATGAGATTGCATTATTCAATAATACTGACTCCCTTCTCTCCCTCCAAATGTGTTTTTTATTTGTCTTGATATTTTCTTGTCTTGATATTTTCTTAGTACCAGTACTAATATCTGAAACTGTAATAATAAATCCTTTTCATCTTAGATGTTTTCTCCAATTGCAAGTGTTTGACATCTCCTTAAAGTGATTTTTAAGTTAAGGAAATAAAAAATGCATCCCTCTTCCCACACTCAAAGCTCGATATAAAAGAATAATAGTTCTGGGGCACCTGAGTGGCTCAGTGGGTTAAAGCCTCTGCCTTTGGCTCAGGGCATGGTCTCAGGGTCCTGGGATCGAGCCCCGCGTCCGGCTCTCTGCTCAGCAGGGAGCCTGCTTCCCCTTCTCTCTCTGCCTGCCTCTCTGTCTACTTGTGATCTCTGTCTGTCAAATAAATAAATAAAATCTTTAAAAAAAAAAAAAAGAATAATAGTTCTGCAAAGTTATTCATTCTGAAGCAGTCACTTAGCTACTTGGCTCTCACAGCAGATAATGCTTTCAGTAGTTTGCGATGTGTCTGTTGTGTGTGGTATATAATTTTGTTTTTCTCTCCGAGATTGCAGCAGAGCTGCTGAACAATTAAAGAATAATCCGCGACACAAGAGTTACCTGGAACAAGTGTCCCTGAGGCAGCTAGAGAAGTTATTCAGTTTTTTACGAGGTTACTTGTTGGGGCAGAGTTTGGCAGAAACAATGGAACAAATTCAACGGGAAACAACAATTGATCCTGAGGAAGACCTGAACAAACTAGATGATAAGGAGCTTGCTAAGAGAAAGAGCATCATGGATGAACTTTTTGAGAAGAATCAGAAGAAGAAGGATGATCCAGATTTCATTTATGACATTGAAGTTGAATTCCCACAGGATGAACAGTTGCAGTCTTGCGGCTGGGACACAGAGTCAGCTGACGAGTTCTGATACCAAAAACTCAAAAGAATTAATTGAGCTAGCAGAAACTGCATGTTTATACAAAGGATGTATAAACATGGTTCTAGAAAAATCTGTAAAGAACACTAAGTGTACATGTTGGGTCAAGTTTGGATTGACCATGTCACTTTTCAAAACCAGGACATGTATCTACTGTGTAGATTCATGAGGAATATATAAAAACCAGAATATAGGAATCTGCCTTTAAGGAGCTCACAATCTAATTGGAAGATAACTCAGAAACTTGTGAAAAACTAATTAACAGAATTAGGCAACAAAAAGATTAGAGTCAGATGCTTGGTAAAAGTTAAAGGGGGTCAGAGCCTAGATGATGTTAGGGTTAGAATAGTCAGGGAAGACTGAGTCCTTTAGTAGAGAGATGGGACTTTGCCTGGTCCTCGAAATGGTAGTGTTTGGATAGAAGTTTATAAAATTCCAGATGAGAGAAGCTGGGAGAAAAAGGGGGCTTTGGGGAGGGTAGTGGTAAAGAGATAGGGACTAGAACATTTTATTTGAGGAACAGTAAGCAAATTATAGTTTGGTAAGATTGGAGGGTATTTATTGTTACCAGGGAATTACCCTGTGTGCATTATGTTTTTATATGTATTGGACTCTGGAGTAGGAGACCAGCCCTGCAGAATGCCCTGCTGCTGCAAGGGGGTGTCATCTAATAGTAGGGGAATTCTGCCACTCCAGGACCAGGAAACCTGTACTAAAGATATTCTGAAATCCTGAAGGTCTTCCCGTAACTGATGTGGTTTGTTTGTAACATGGGAAATCTAGCCATAATGAATAGATAGGCATTGCCAGTTTAGGCCTATTCATGTGTTTGGATCTACAAAGAGAAGATCTTTGTTGAACCAGGTTATATGTGTACAGATACATCTTTCTTCTCATTAGAATATTGTTTAATTGGCAGATATTCCATGTTTTCTGCAAGGAGATTAATACTCATTAAATAAAGCTGTAAAAATTACTCACTCTTTCCACCTATTCATCTCCACTCTCTTTACCAGTAAAAGCCCCATGAAAGGGGTCACTCCTACAGTGGTATCACCAGGGGCTTAAGATGGTCAGGCATCATATGTATATTTGCCAAAGGTAGCAAAAAAAATTTCAGAATCAGAGATCTCCTATATCTACACAGTATTCCATTGTACAGATGTAGATGATACATTTTAAAAGTTGACCTTAGGTTGTTTTTCCTTTCACTATTACAAGCAATGCCACAGCAGATAACCTTGTACATTCTCTGTTCTGTGCACTTGTAAAACTATAAGTAATGCCTAGAAGGGAATTGCTGGGTATGTCTGTTCCAAATTTTAATAGATAATTGCTAACTTGTCCTTCAAAGAAGTTCATTCATTCATCCATCCATTCAGTATGTGTACTTAATGAACACATATTACATGCTGAGCTGTATTATTCTGGAGTCTGAGTACGTAGCAGTATACACAACAAAGTCCTTGCCTTTACAAGGTTTACAATCAAGTGGCAGAAGAGAGACATTAAACATAAATACATAGAATAATGTCACATATGTGCTTGAAATTAAAAACATGGTAAAAAGACAATGATGGAGGGGTTGAGAGCCACTTTTTTTGACAGCGATCAGAGAATGCCTCACTGTAGAGGTGGGACATTTGGGTAAAGACCTGAAGGAGGTTAAGGAAGAAATGATGTGCATTTCATGAGTTGTAGAGAAAGGTAGGTGTGTGGGCCCCCAGAGCTGGAATGTGCTTGGCTTACCAAGGAAGGATAAGGACACAGATATGGCTAATACAGACTGAGGAGGAGAATAATGATAGGAGATGAGGTTGGAATGTTCTTACCAATGCATAGTACTTCCATGAAGGCTGTACCAACTTAAACTGTTGGCAGTACATGAAAGTACCCGTTTTCCCCACATGTGCATCAACAGATAGTGTTCTCAAACTTGTTGATCTTTGCCAATTTTATAATCTAAAAACGGCACCTCATGGTTTTAATTTCTATATCTTTTATTATGAGTGAGATTGAGCATTCTCATACACTTAAGGATAATTTTTTATGACAACATGTCATTTGCTCATTCTTCTGTTGTGTTACTGGTCTTTTTCTTACTGATTTGTAAAAAGTTCTTTATTGGGGCACCCGGGTGGCGCAGTTGGTTAAGCGTCTGCATTCAGCGCTGGTCATGATCCCAAGGTCCTGAGATTGAGCCCCGAATTGGGCTCCCTGCTCAGCAGGGAGTCTCCTTCTCCCTCTCCCTCTGCCTGCCACTCCCCCTGCTTGTGCTCTCACTGTCAAATAAATAAATTCTTTAAAAAAAAAGTTCTTTATTAAGGAAAATAGCCCTTGGTCTGTGATATGAGATGCAGATACTTTACCTTTGTCATTTGTGTTTTGACTTTGTTTATGATATTGTTTCCAGGCAGATTTTTTTCAAGTCAAATTGATCAATATTTTTCTCTGTGTTTCTGCATTTTTGTCATACTGAGAGAGGCATTCCTCGCTCCAAGTTTTTTGTTTTTTTTTTAATTCCATCGTATATTCTACATAGAAGTTTATTTTGGTATAAGATAAAAGATGTGAATCCCAACCTTACTTCCAGATGCCCATCCAGCTGTCCCGCACTACTATATACCGAATTACCTATCTTTCCCCCATTGAGTTGAAGTGCATGCTTTATTATATACAAGTTCCCATATGTGTCAGAATAGTTATCTTTTGATTATATTAATGTCCTCTATAGCACATTCCCAATCTATGTTTTTTGATGTTTATTGAGCACATCCTGTGAAGAGCTACAGTAAGATACAAAATGGGCCATAACTTTTGCCTTTGAGATATTAACATAGTTTACCAAAACAAGAAAACTAGCATATATGAGCTAGAGGTACTGACTCTGTCTAAAGCAGGAGGGGGAGATCATGTGAGCTGAGCAGTTGTGGATTTTTTTTTCTTATGTACCTTATCCAAAGCAAATTCTGCTGACCTCTTTCACATTTTTTTCCATTATAAAATGAATATATACTCAATACCATTGTCTTTTTTTTTTTAAGATTTTATTTATTTGACAGAGATCACAAGTAGGCAGAGGCAGGCAGAGAGAGAGGGAGAAGCAGGCTCCCCGGGAACAGACTGCCCGAATAGGGCTCTATCCCAGGACCCTAGGATCATGACCTAAGCCGAAGGCAGAGACTTTAACCCACTGAGCCACCCAGGCGCCCCTCAATACCATTATCTTAAAAATTTAGATAGAGTGTAAAAGTAAAATCGGAAAATTCTCAACTTTACTCAATTCCAACTCTGCAGAGAATTTGGCTTCCCTAGAGGGCTCTGGATCCCATCTTCTGTTGTGGCCTTGCCTCACCAGTATTCTTTCTCTCTCTGCCTCTGTCTTTCTCATTTTCAGCTTCATTCCCTTCTGGCTCATTCTCTACAGTCTGTAAACATGCATAAGTTCTTGCCATATTAAAACAAGAAAACATCACTTACATGCATAAGTTCTTGCCATATTAAAACAAGAAAACATCACTTTGCCTTTCTTTATCTCATATCGAATCTAACCAAATTATCACTCATCTAGTTATTAGATAAATCTAACCCTTCCCTGACTACTGCACCCTTTAGAGCAGATCTGTCTGTAGTCTGATTCTAGATTAGACTAGACTAGACATGCTCAGCCTATGAAACTCAATACTTTGAGAGCTGCCCTTAAAGTTCAATTTGGCTCTGGCTTCTTCTCACTCTGTTGGATCCCTAAGAGCCTCTGGTTCATTGAGAGGTGTAGGTTTGTTCACATGTAAGCCTGGAAATACAATTCAGTTTGGATCTCTTAGCGTACTTAATGTACTGTAGTCTTCACCAAAGATTGTATATAAATCCCTGGGTCAGCATAAGAATTGAGCTAAAGGGTCTTTTCTATTTACCAATTCAGCAAGTATGTAATCAAGCACCAGGCACATCAAGGTACTGAGTGGTCACCTTAAACATTATGTCCTGAGAGGTTCACTAGATCTGCTCCCTTGCACTTTTGCAATTATTTTACTCAGGTTTTTTGGTAATTATTTCATCATGTACCTAGTATTTTGACAAAAGCAGTAGATGAAAATTGAGGAAAGGTCACTGGATTTGGCAACTAGGTCTCTGTTAATATTCAAGAATGAAGATTGGGGGCACCTGGGTGGCTCAGTGGGTTAAGGCCTCCGCCTTCGGCTCAGGTCATGATCCTGGGGTCCTGGGATCAAGCCTTGCACTGGGCTCTCTGCTCAGCAGGAAGCCTGCTTCTCCCGCTTCTCCCTCTCCCACTCCTCCTTGCTGTGTCCCTGTCAAATAAATAAAATCTTTAAAAATAAAAAATAATTTTTAAAAAAGAATGAAGATTGAAGGGGGGGGTGATTGGATAGAAATTGCAGGATAGGGACACCTGGGGGGCTCATTCAGTTAAGTGTTTGCTCTGACAAATAAATAAAATCTCAAAAAAAAAAAAAAGAAAAAGAAACTGCAGGATATTATGAAGGAAACATAGGATCATAGACCTAGATGAGAAAGCTAAAACGGGGGGGTGGAGGCGCTGAAACTATATAACTTTTAGAAGAAAATAAAGAGAATCTTTGTGACCTCTGTGTCTCACTTCAGGCTATTTTAACACCATAAACTGGGTGGCTGCTAAACAACAGAAATTTATTCCTCATAGTTCTAGTGATTGGAAGTCTGAGAGCAGGGTACCAGCTTTGTCCGTTTCTGGTAAGAAGATCTTCATGTTGCAAGCTACGCACTTGCAGAGGACAGCAAGCCAGCTCCTTCATGTCCCACTTTAAGGGCACTAATCCCATTCATGAGAGCTCCACCCTTATGACTCCATCAATTCTAATGACCTCCCAAAGGCCTACCTTATAATACCATCACTTTTGGGGGTTAGGACTTCAACATATGAATTTTGAGAGGACTAGTAAATATTCAGGGCATAACACTAATTAGGTAGAGATCTTTGATTTGATACCAAAAATCTGATTTGTAAAAGGAAAAAATGTATGTATTGGATTCATCAAAAATTTTAAAATTTTGTACTCTGAAGACAATGTTGAGAACATAAAACAGACTGAAAGAAAATATCCACAGATCATACAACTGAAAACGCACTTGTATCCAGCATATAAAGAGAACTCTTACAATTTGGAGTGCCTGGCTGGTGAGTCAGTGGAGTATTCAATTCTTGATCTCAGGGTTGTGAGTTCAAGCATTCAAGTCCCATGTTGGGTGTACAGATTACTTGAAAATAAAATCGTAGGGGCCCCTGAGTGGCTCAGTTGGTTAAGCATCTGCCTTCCACTCAAGTCATGATCCCAGCCAGGGTCCGTGAATTGAGCCCTGCATCGGGCTCCCTGCTCAGCAGAGAGCCTGCTTCTCCCTCTCCCTCTGCCTGCCACTTTCCGTACTTGTGCTCTCTACCTCTCTGTCAAATAAATAAATAAATTCTTTTTAAAAAATAAAAATAAAGTCTTAAAAAAATAATTCTTACAACTCAGTAATAAAAGAAAGAACCCAATTTAAAAATGAACAAAAGATGGATGCCTGGGTGGCTCGGTTGGTTGTGTCCAACTCATGATTTTGTCTCAGGGATGATCTTGGGGTTATGAGATTGAGCCCCAAGTCGGGCTCTGCACCTGGCACACTGTCTGCT